GAACAAGTAAGTAGGGTATATTCTGGAAATTCAGGGTCAGCTTTCTGATACCAAACCATCAGACCCTGGCCTCCAGTGCCTGTATCTTTAAGACTGTTTGATACATTGTGAGCCTCAGAACATCCCCTATTTAATCTTGGCTGCCATTTCTGAAGGTGTTCCAACTTCGACTTTTGATCTGCTAGAAACTGGTTTCTGGATCTGCTCGTATTTGGCATTTCCTAATGTTCTGACCCTGGTCACATTCCTTGACTTAGCCTTTGCCTCCTGGACAGAGTTGTCACCTCTTGCCAACATTTCTTGCCTGTTTAGATTGTTATTTCAATCTCAAAACTAACAAGACTTATGCTTCTGAAGGCTTAACCCGAAGACTTCCTCCAGGAACATGGCTTTCTGATGGCATGAACCCAAACCATCTTTCCTACTCTACCTTCTGCTACTCCTCAGGGTAGCTCCCATATACCAGCCCAGGGCTTCTCTTGCACAGGACCGTTCCTACTTTGATGCCTTAAAACCTTCCTCTTCCACAAAGCACCCTTCATCTCCTCCGCTTTCCTGTTCAAACCCTAGCACAGAGTTAAATATTCAGGTCGCCTGTGTTTTTAACAAGCTTTCCTACTTATTAACCATGCGACCTTAAGCAATTTACTTAATCTTCATTGTCTAAGTTTCCTGCTGTGTAAATTAGTACCTATTTGGGCAGTATGGTTAACTGGCTGTCCAACACTAATCTCTCTCCTTTTTTCCTTATTACACAACCCCCAAGGTAGCCATGTGCTCAGATAAAAAAACAAAACCAGAAACCAAAAATAGCTTCCATTTCTCAGCCAGTCCTGCCACTAGGGTGTCTATGTCATACAATTCTAACCATGGGATACAGTAGAAGTCTGAAGTTTGCTAGGGATCCTAGCAGAGGAGAGTTCCTTTCCATGTCTAAGTTCCATTGTCCTTCTACTGGCATGTCAATACAATGTCTTGATTGGATGGGCCATTTCATAACTAAGGAGCCAAAAATCACAACCTGAGCATAAAGGAGGAGAAAGAAGAAGCTGGAAATGTGATGGTTTCTAAAGTAACTGTATCACCTCCAGACTGTTTGCTCTTGATCTGTTATTGTGTGAGGGAAGATAAGCTTCTGTTTGATCATGTGCTGTGGTTAGGTTTCTGTTACCTTCTGGCTTCGTGGGTCGCTATGAGGACTGAATTAGAAAAGATGTGTAAATGCCTAGCATGATGCTTGAGACAAGTGGTCAAAAGAGCTACTGTTTTTATTTAAAACCTCCAACTCAAACCCCATGAAATCTAAGTGCTGATACTGTCCTAAGCATTAATGTCAAACAAAGAGAAATCCCATTCCTACTTTTATGGAGTTTAGCATCTAATGGTGAAATAAATGTCATCCACCCTAACTTTCGAGGGAGACTCACAGCACCTACTTTGATATCTTAGTGACCACAATTGCATATTATGCTTAGTTTGGTGTCCTGAAAAAGGGGACACAGTTTTCCATAAGCTAATTCAATTTAGGGTCACAATGAAAAGTAAGAATTGAATGATATATGGAAGAGTCCAGAGTTTTAAGGAGCTTGTATTTATATAGAAGAAAAAAATTTAAGGAATTTGAGTTAGCATGATAGCGTGGAGGAAGAGGGATGCCTGACTGGCTTCCTGGTCAAAACAAGTTCCCCACAGCCCCCATACTCAGGCAGGGTGCACATGTGGTGGCAACTCAACCCTCGGGATGCATGATCCTGTGCTTTGCTGCAAATAAATACTGAAGACTTCTGTCAAATTTTATTTGCATTTGCTCTAAGGAAAAGCCTGGAGTTTTCTTTTTTGATCTTAGTCCAAAGGAAAGGGTTTCTGCAAAGACTGAGGAGAAATTTATGCCTAACTGTGAGAGATCTATAAACAGAGAAGGAAAATAATGTTTCTTCTTCCTCCTCCTCCTCCTCTTCTTCCTCCTTATCCTCCTCATCCTCCTCTTTCTTCCCCCAATTCCTTCTCCCCTTCCTCCTTTCTCTCCTTCTCCTTTTCCTTCTTCCTGAGAACATTGCAGGAAGTCTTGCAATCAATTTCTCTAGCATACTTGAATCCCTGGGGAATCCACATTAGCCATTTTTACTAGCACAAAGAATATCCTTTAGTACTATATATAAAGCAATTCCTGACATACAACACAACAAGCAAGCAATAAAGGTATTTTAACAGGATTCTATATATTATTTTTGCAATCTTCTGGTTTTTTGTGTCTGGTATAGTTTTCCTATTATTGATTTATTATATTGTCTTTCTAGTTATAAAAGTGACCCATATAAAAGTGGCTTGTGGTTCCTTGTCTCCTCAAAGTCTCCTGTGGTCATAGGTGGGGCTTTTTCAGAGGTGGGTGGATCTCAAATGTGTGATGCTGGGATTGATTCATGGTGCAATGCTAGGATCAAGGGCACTAGGGTTAAGGGTGTGAGAGCTACCTGCTTTAACTATCCTGGATAAGATAAAACATAGAAAGAGCTATAGTTGTCCTTTGCTTGCTTTGTACCTTCTACCTACCATAAACTATTTCTCCTTTGCCATCCACCCTGCCTTGGAGCCAGCCACTTGTGGACTGAAACCTCTATAAACTGTGAGCTAAATAACCCTTTTCTCTTTTAATTTGGGTACCAGGTATTTTGTCTTGGAGATGAGAAAAGTAACTAAGATACCCACACACAAGAATGTCTTCCAGTCTCATAGTGTTTCTACTTGAGCAGTCTTTCCTGAAGCCTCTTTTGTTGGGACAACTTCCAAAAGCACAGACGAGCCTAAAAACTCATAAGGCATTGCCAAGCAGTGAAGGGAAACAAAACTGTTCCTGCTGACTCTGCACCACAGCTGCCAGATGCTTTGCTTAACTTGTGGGAAGAAAAACAAAATGAATTGTGAAACAAAATACTTCAGAGACCACAGAATGGTGGTGGCAGAATTGAGGTTTGCTCCTCCAGTACTTTTTTGTAGCAATTCTCTTGGGGTCATCTACAGTCCAAGCTCACATGTCTGAGCAGAGGCAGGATGATACCTGATGGGATAAGCCAAAAGGAAACTCCAGTCCTTAATCCAGGGCACCAGAAAAATCACTCTCCCGAGGCCACCTATATACTACTACTAGCCCCAAAAAGCAAACTGACTCACTTAAAGCTTTGTTCACTGAGTTTTCTTAAAATGCAAAGAAGAGAATTTAAGAGCAGGAGGAATGAGTTCCAAGTTCTTAGCCAAGGCAGCCTTTCATGGAGGAAAGAAAATACATGGCACGTGTTGGTAAGAGAGACACCAACTCCAAAACGGTAAGGCAAACAAAGGGGAGGCCAGAGGACAAAGCTTTAAGCCCATATGGTTAAGTCCCATTTACCTCCCAGTGTGCAAGGTCAGTGGAAGTGTGCAGGGAGTGAGGTGAGGTGATAAGTATTCAAAGCCACTTACAACCACCTGCATCCATCATAAGAGAAAACTGTATTCTAATGAGACATCAGGATACCTCTCAAGTCCATGCAAGGCAAGGCTGCCTCCAGATAGAAAACAATCACTTTTATCCAATAGCATCTTAAGGAGCTGCCTTGGACTCTACTAAAAGATACAATGCAGGGAGGATTGTAAGCCTACACCTGTCAGTGACAGTTCTTTCTTCCAGTAGTTCCACTATCACATCAAGTCAACTCAATGAAGGCATGCCATACATCCACTGTGAGCAGATATGCCAGGCAGGGTATGGTGGTGCAGGCACATAATCTCAGCTACTTGGGAAGCTGGAGCAAGAGGATTACAAGTTCAAGGCCAGCCTGAGTGATTTAGCAAGACCCTGTCTCAAAATAAAATGTAAAAAGAGCAGGAATATAGCCCAATGGCATGGCCTTGCATTGGTCAGCCTGCATGTGGTCCTAGGTTTAATCCCTAGTACTATAAATGAAAAAGAATAAAAAATAAAAAATAAAAAATAAAAAATAAAAATTTTTTTTAAAATAAAAAAGACTGATCTGTCAAATATGGGCTTCTGCAATAAGCTGGAAGCTCTTCTGTGTGACAGTTATCAGAGGCACTGGGAACTGTGAGCAAGGGTGACAGGGAGGCATATAAAAATCTACCAAATTGCATTTGGTCCTTTGGGTATGAGGGGTGTGTTTTTCCAAGTCTCCCTGTTACTGGCTTCCTCACAGCCAATTGTTGTGCAATTTCAAAAGGAAAAGAGCACGTAATGCCACAGGCTGGCCTCACAGGGCTTTCTTGCCAACCAGCTTTTCCTGAAAGACAAGAGGCTTTCTGATGAGGATAATCTAACATCGACCTTTGAATAACTCTGAGAAACAGATATGAGATTGCCACCTGGAAATCTGTGGCGACAAATTGATCCAGGCCATTGGTCCCAACTCTAGCTGCAAATTGGAATCATGGGAGAATTTTAAAGCAAGTCATTCTCCCAGCCTCATCCACCCCAAAATTCTAATTCTAAGAATCTGGTTAACTTTGGATGGAATCCAATTTTTAAAGGCAAAACAGAACATTGTTTTGCAGCCAGAGTTGCAAACTACTTCTGTAGACCACTCCATAAACTGATGTTATGGATAAAGTGTGATTCCACCTCCCTCTTCCAGATACAATTAATTGGATTAATTAATGGAGGTGGCCTGTGTCCAGATCCTCAAGACTATACACTTATTCAGAGATTTCTATAACTCTTAGGACTCACTATATGGTTAGACTCATGACCAAGACCTATTATAGTGATGCAATAGAAAAGATAATCAGTTAGGTCATAGTGGAAAAAGATACAGGCAGAATCCAAAGAACTCTATACACAGGCTTCTATGCTCTCTCCTGTGAGGAGGTATACTTCAGTCTGTTTTTTTTTTTTCTCTCTCTCTCTCTCTCTAGCAGGGAGCAATGCAATAACATGTATGCAATGTTTCTGCCCAGGAAATCACACTACAGATACATAATTTTTTAAGATTTTTATTGGAGTTTGGTTGCATCTTCTGTTTTCCTAATATGTGCCAAAATTCCAGATTCCTGGAAGGAAAACAAATATTCAACATAAATGATATTATTTGCCTTGATAGTCTAAGCACAAGGAACCACCTATATTAGTTCTAGGAATCATGGGAACATCAAAACACCAGCCAAGAATCAGACTTGCAAGCAGGCCTTTCCAAAGATAGCAGCCTCGGACACATAGCCCGAACAAAGATAATGATCATCAACTAAACCAATAAATTCCCTCAGAAATTGACTTGGGAAATATGAAGAGAGTCAGGCAATTGATTTTCAGAGAAGTGCCCAGACGCAAAGAGAAACAAGGATTAAAAGCACAGTTCAGGGCCAGGGATTTAGCTCAGTGGCACCTGCCTCACAGGCACAAGGTCCTGAGTTTGATCCTTGGTCACCCCCTCCTCAAAAAAAGCACAGTTGAGTGACATGGATGACAATACTCTAGTAAAGAAACAAACTTCAGTCGTGAGAATTAAATAGAACTCAGCTTTTAAAGCTCTATTGTTTCTTCTGCTTCCTAAATACTGTTCTACTTTGTTCTCTGAAACTGATCACCCTATCTGTTTCTAGTTTTCCACGAACTTTCCTCTATAAACCACTTCTATCTTCTCTATATGCCTCAATCACTCTGCCAGAGTGGGTCTAAGAGCTAAAAAACACACAAATCATGGAAGTAGGCAGGAAAAAACAACCCCTGACAAGCTCAAAGAACACTGAGCTGCCCATGCAGAAAAAGCTTCACAAGATCATAGCTAATATTCTTAGAACACAGTGCCTTCCACACAAATAAGACATTGGGCTATACTGGGTGCTCTCTCTGTAGAAAGGACTAAAAAATCATATCAGTTAAACAATTCTTCCCTATGGTCAAATTCTTTCATTGATTTTTTTGACAAATCTGTCGCTAGGGATCAAATTTCTGCAGAGGGCAATAGCTTGTTTATTTGTTTGTCTGTTTATTTTTGTCATAAATGTTACCTGTCAATCAAGTTATTTGGGAGCTGTTTTGTTCTGCCCAATTTTTGCTGCCTACTTTGCAGTGCATAGTTCAGCCTAGTTCTACCCTTCATTCCTATGAAAGAACTACATCATCCTAACATTAAGCCTCTCCTTGGTTTCCAGAGTGCTCAGGTTAATCATATTGATCTCAACTTCCATTTCCCCTGCCACCTCTTCAGGTGTACATCAAAAACATGGAGTCCCATAGGAACAAATAAATGTAAAGCAACGTGTAAGACCATAACAAGTTCATCAGAAATGTTCAGCTCATATTTGGCCGAGTTTATGTGGTACAACTGATTGAGATGCAATGCTGTTGATTCCTTTTTACTGCATATATTGAAACAATTTCCTAATAGCTAATATGTATTTTGATTTTTGGTTTTGTTGTGTTTTAGTACAAATATTCAGGGATAAATTCTTCAGTTAAATACATCTAACAGGCAAATTATTCAATTGATCAAAAACTTTGGTCATAGAAATCAAAAAGAGTTGACCCTGAAATTTCCAGGATAAAAACCAAATAATTAAGAATTGTACTTCTTTGTCTGAGAAATGTCTGTTCATTTCGGATGTCCATTTTTTGAATTGGGTCTTTATATTTGGGGGGCTGATTGTTTTGAGTTCTTTATATATTCTTGATGATAGTCCTTTGTCTGAGGAACAGCTGGTAAAAATTTTTTCCCACATTGTAGGTTGTCTCTTAGTTCTGCTGATAGTTTCTTTGGCAGTACAGAAACTTTTTAATAAGATGAGATCCCAGTTGTTGATTCTATCCGCTAGAAGTAAAAGCAGCAAGTAAATATATGAAAAAATATTCCACATCACTGATCATTCGAGAGATGCAGATGAAAACAACACTGAGATTCCACCTCACCCCACAAAGAATGGCTGCTATCAAGAAATCACACAATAACAAATGTTGGCGGGGTTGTGGGGAGAAAGGAACCCTTCTCCATTGTTGGTGGGAGTGCAGACTGGTGCAACCACTATGGAAATCAATATGGAGATACCTCAAAGAGCTTGGACTGGAGGTTCCATTTGACCCAGCCATCCCTCTGCTGGGTATCTTTCCAAAAGAACTAAAAGAATCATATCACAGAGAAGTATGCGCACCCATGTTTATAGTGGCACAGTCTGTAATAGCTAAAACTTGGAAACAGCCCATTTGTCCATCCGTTGGAAACTGGATAAAGAAGATGTGGTTTTTCTATAAAATGGAATATTACTCAGCCATAAAGAACAAGAAAATAGATTCATTCATAGGAAAATGGATACATATTGAAGATATATTCCTAAGTGAAATAAATAAGGCACATATGTGTAAATACTGAATAGTTTCCCTGGTGTGAATAATCTGCAATAATACAGAAGATTCTAATAAGATTATTGACATTTAGAAATGGGAAGAAAGGAGCTAAAGGTGTAGGGAAGGTGGGATGGGTAGGGAAAGGGTAATAAGGGAAAAGAAAAAAATGTGAGATAATGAAAAGATGGAAATAAAGTGTTTGTAGATGGGGAGGGGAGGAGGGGGTGAAGGGAGGGCAGGGACAAAGGAAAAAGTGAGAACCAAGACCTGTCATGTAGAGGTACAAATTCCCAACAATGAATGTAACTGTACTGTATCCCTAAAATGTACCAATAAAGTCAATTAAAGCTGAAAAAAAAAAGAATTGTATAAGAGTGCTTATCTCTAAGCATCTATGTACTTATATCTGGTCTTATTCACTCAATATTTAATGGACATATTTATAGCCTTAAAACTCTTTTTCAACAGTGAAATAACCATATATACAGTTTGGATACCATGAAATGCAAACTTTTAGGTTTAAAAATAAATGCTTCATATATCTAAAGATTACCACTTTATTCTTCATTATGCAGCCAGTTTTCCCAGTGCCAACACTTTCCATCATAATGTTCTTTCTATCATAGTGACTGTTGATTTAAATAAACAGTAGAACCTTTTTTTTTAAAGGAGGAGAGATTTATCTTGACTCATGGTTACAGACAGTGGTTGGATGGCTCCAAGGCAGACATGGCATAGCAGAGGAAGGCTGCTCACATCATGGATGCCAGGGAGCAGAGGGAGGAGTGGAGCCAGGGAGGGAGATAGACTCTTCCAGGCCACACCCCCAGTGACCAGCAGACCCCACCAGACCCCACCTCCTAACAGCAAGTCAGCTATATTGATTTAAACACCTTCTAAAAGCCCTGCCTATGAGGCATAAGGCCTTTGGGGAACTTTTTTTTTTTTATCTAAACAGTAATATAGTCCCACCAGAATAGTAATGAAAGAAATTGTGCCAGGACTGGGAAATCACCCAGGAAAAGAACAGCCATGATCCCTTAGGGAGATCACCAGGAATCAGAGGAAGCAATAATCATCTAAATTTAAAAATAAAAAAATCTATCACCCATTTTGCATCTATGTCTAGTTTGTTATCAGAAATTGTTTTATCAGAGAGGTAAGTAAAAACAGATACACCAAATTGCCTAAGGGATGAAATGTTTGCAGTTGCAAAGAAGGTTTATGTTACAACACATTTTTGTTGAAAAACACATTTGGTACAAAAATCAGTTTTTGGCTAGGCAATTCACAAAGAGAAAGTTAACTGAATTATTTTTAAGAATGGTTAAAATGCTTATTGAAAGTGTATCTTGTAAAAGGGGAAAAAATGAGAACCAAGACCTGTCGTGTGAAGGTACAGGATCCCAGTAATGAATGTAACTGTACTGTATACCTAAAGTGTACCAATAAACTCAATAAAAAGGAAAAAAAAGAAAGTGTATCTTGTGGGCACTTGATATGAATTATTTAATAAAATCCTTATAGTCATTCTATATTTTCATTTTCCATTTAAAGAGATTGAATGGGAGAGGTTTTAAAAAACTTTTCCTAAGGTCAAAAGATCTGAAATGACATAACTTGCCCTGTCTCGATAGTGGTGAGAATGAACCAGGGGTGAACTTGGTTTCTTTGTTTCTACCGTGTCACCCTCTGGCTGATCTATACTACTTTCACCCTTATATTTGGATGTCTTGCTCACAATAGATTTTTTAGGTGAAGCAAACTGACTGTATATTGAAAACATCCAGTTAAATATCTCAATCATTTTTGCTTCCTGCATATAGCAAGGGTAGGTTTGGATAAGGCATGGGTGCTGCGTGCTGTAGGAGGCATAAGAATATGTAATTATAAAGACCCCATTTCTAAAACCACAAATGAAGGTGCGCCTTCTGTTAAAGATTTTTGAGCCATGCTCCATGGAACATGGCAAGAGGCAGCCTTGGAGATATTTGGATATCAAAACATCTTAATACTGGTAATGTGTTCAATTACGGAATCCGACAGAGATAGTCTATGAGTTGAACTAAGGTATTCCTGCCTACAACATAAAGCAGTGGCCTTTCTTCCCAACTTCTGTAAACATTTAAACAGCATCTTCACAACTTTTTTCCATTAATTTTGCTTTGTTGTCTATTTGCCCTGAAGTATGAGGCAGCTCTTAATTGAGTATAAAATTATGTATACCAAACCTTTTTTAATAGTTCATGATCCAAGGATTTAGCTCAGGGGTTCTGCCACCTGCCTCAAAAGCACAAGGACCCAAGTTCAATCCCCAATACCAAAAAAAAAATTAGTTCACGAGACTCCACACCAAGTAGGATAGCTTTCCAGAGTAATGCAAAGTCTCTACCTCAACAGTGATTGAAGTTACATAGGAAACGAGGTAAGGCAACCAAAAGTTAACCAAGGGGTCCTGGCATGAAGTACTCTGCCTCAAAGCAGGCTCCTCTTGTGGACTGGGGCCTCATGGAGCTCTGAAGTGAAGGTGAACTGAAGCTGAACTTCAGGTGGAAACTGCAAGTATAAAGGAGCAGGAGAATCAAGCTGGTGTTTTGGAAAGGAAGGAAATGGGTAAGAATAGAGCTGGATGGGTCAGGCAGACAGTTAACTGGAAACAAAGTTTGGGGTCACATTATAAAGGAAGAATGGGAAAAGTTAAGACTACTTTTTCTGAATCCTCATGGGTGCATTATCACACATGTGTTAATTTAATAGCCACAGTTAACTCCATAATGGAGGGTGTGTATTTTACGAGAGAACATTTGGCTGAAAAAACAATCTATTGGCTTAAGCCAAAGAATTTCATCACAGGATCCCAAGGGCAACAGCACAGACAACAAGAACAGATCATACTCAGAAGGGCCTCCCATTGATTTACTGCTTTCTTGTCACTGTACTAGAATTCTTAATTTTATCCTTGAACTTATTCTATAAGTCACAGACATGAGCAGAGGACACATGCGTCCACTGTTTGAGAAATAGTAGAACCTTAAAGCGTGAAGACACATTGTCAACCACCAGAAGAAATTCAAGCCTTTAGTTCTAAATACAAGGAACTGGATGCCCAGTAAGATATTAGACTTATCCAGGTTTCATGGCTGGTTAGAAACAAAGCAAGAACTAGAATTCTGATCTCCTGAATCCTAGGCTAATTTATTTATTTGTTTGTTTATTTTTCATTAAGTTTATTGGTACATTTTTGGTACACAATACAGTTACAATCATCACGGGATCTTGGACCTTTTACATAACATTCCTAGTCCAATTTATTAGCAATCAAGATCTTCTTCTTTGTCTTTACCTGTGCAATAGAATTGAGTTTCCATGAATATAACTGTTGATTATCTTTAAAGCTTTAATCTCTTCCAAAGCGTGTTGTTATTCCTAGAAAATATTAACATTGATGAGGACATGGATTTGTGATTGTGTAATAAATAATCCAACATTTTCATATTTGCTAATGTTTGCAGATGAAGGTCACATGTTTCTAAAGAACAGGAAACTGTGGTCAGTATTTTTACTTTAGAGGCTCTCAGAACAAGTCAGCACAATGTGCTGTTTGCTGAATTTACTTAAAAGATAATTTAATCTTCACTCATTTTAAAAATTATCTCAATGACAGTATTCCATTTAAAGAAGGTAAAGTTTGCCTGTATAATTTATTTATGGAAAAGTTAATCTATCAGTAATTAATGAAGGAGAACTTGGGCAAATATTAGAATCAAAACACTTCCAGGGGGGCATGTTGGATGGAGACAAAGTAATGTAAACCAAAATACTGTCAGATCATTTAATGTGCGAAAGCAAACTACAGAAATAGAGTGGTAATATTCAGGAATATATTTAAAACAATAAGCATTTGATTATACAATAAATCTTAAAACACCACAAGAACTCAAAGATGAGAAAGATTAGTAGAGAGAGAAAGCTAGCCCAAAAAATTTTTTCTGAGTAGGCATTTGTGATTGGAAGCAAATAAAAAAATCTGACCCTTGAGACCTATGAGAAAGGCAAGCCAGCTTTGGTGTGCCTTTGAGTTTTATCACTAATTCTTTCATGCATACAGTGAGTATTTATTGAGCACATCCATATGTTTTAATACTTTGCTAGGAATTGCCAAGGATCCAACCATAGGCATGTTAGTTAATTGCTTAAAACTTACTTCCCCTGGGCGTGGTGGTACACACACCTGTCCTCTAATACCGACACTCAGGAGGCTGAGGCAGAAGAACTGTCATGAGTTCAAGGCCAGAGTGGGCTCCAGGGAGTTCAAGGCCATCCTAAACTACAATGTAAGACTCTGCCTCAAAAAAAAGACTATTTCCTCATCATTTATATATGAAAAATAGACCCAGGTGACATTAGATTACTTCTATTTCTCTCATTTTATAATGTACTTTAAGATGAAGCAAAAATTCCTGCTAAATTCATACAACATATCTGAAGCAACAAAATGTGTGTATATAGAATAGTTAAATAGGAATATAAATATCTAATTTTCAGAACTTTTAGATTTTTTTTAACCTTCTAACCCAGAGGAAGTTTGTAGCACACTTCCTCCAGCGACAGAGGTTCAGTCCCTCTAGAGAGAGAAAATCATGTCCCTTAGTGGGGCAACAGGAGAGATACAGAGTCCCAGTCCTGAGGGGACTCACGCGATGTAGCCAAGACAGGGTACTACGGGATGGAAGTGTTGAAAAAGCTAATTGAAATCAATGTAAACACGGAGGACTTCATTGGCTGATGTAACTGATCATGGGCTTCAGAGCTCGCTTAATGTAGCAGCAACAACCAGCTGACATTCAAGAACCTCTACTTGAAACCCCAGACCCACTCCGTACTAGCATTTTGATGTGGGGAAGTTGCTCAGCTTCTCCAAGTCTTAAATTCAACATCTGAAAAGAAAATAGGAATAATAGGAGTCCCTACCTCACAGTGCTGTTATGAGAGTTAAGTGAGATAGTGGCAATGAAGCACTGAGTCCAGTGCCTCCCACACAGCAAAGGCTCAATGATTATAATCATTATCATAATTAAAGCGATCAACTGTGCTTAATAATAAGACCTTTTAAACATAGAATTTTACAACATGGGGCTGACTTTGGAAAGCAAGTAAAAAGTTGAAAAGTAAGTGGAGAGTGATAATTTGAAGAATGTGGTGGAAGCCTTTATTAACAAAAGTTTTTCTGAGAAAGGAAGATAAACTGAAAGGTATCTGAAGGGAAGCCTCAGGATAAAGATAAAAATTTTTATTTTGGACAAAAAGAAACCTGAATAATTTTATAATCTATGACACAGTATCCAATATAGTTAAAATACTAAAAAAAAATAAAATAAAAAGGAATGTTGCAAATTGTAGAAGAGATGAACACTGATCATAGAATAAAAAAAGTTTTGACTTAAACTGATGATAATGATGATGATGACCTTAATTATTCCATGTTTTTTCCCCCGGTACTGAAATTAAACCTAGAACCCTCACACTGAGCTAGCCCTTTTTATTGTTTATTTTGAGACAGAGTCTTGTTAAATTCCCCAGGCTGGTCTCAAACTTGCAATTCTCCTGCCTCAACCTCCCAAGTGCTGGGATTACAAGCATGTACTGCCATAATTATCCATCTTATTGAGTGTTTACTGTGTCAGCTTCCAGCCCAAGTGTTATGTATGCTAGCTCATCTTGTTCTCACAACCACCTCAAAAGGCAGACACTTATTTCTCAACATTTAGCACCCTCTGTTTAAATTTAAAACTGAAGTTTGGAAACTTTAACATTTTGTGTGAGTGGAACACAAAAATGGAAACAGATTTTATACCAAAATAGGTGTCCTAATGCTTATGTTAAGCTGAGGAAAAGAAATGAGAAGAGGTGTATATATTGAAATATCTGTGAGCGCAGGCATAGGAATTTGTAGGAGTTTGTGCTGGATAGAATATGTTTTCTGCATGAAGTATATGAAATTAACTGTCAAGATAGAAGATGTCAGACATTGTATATCTAGAAGCTGAGAGAGAAATGAAATGACTGGGGGAAAGCAATATGCAATGGGAATTTTCCAGAATCACTGAAAGACTAAAATTCTCAGATATAGGAATAAGAATGTAGGGCTGGAGATTTAGCTCAGTGGTGCGGGTGCCTGCCTCACAAACCCACGGTCCCAAGTTCGATCCCTGGTTTAAAGAGAAAGAGAGAGAGAGAGAGAGAGAGAGAGAGAATGTGCTTTAAGCTAAATGAATAAAAATTAATTCATACCTAAATACATCAGAGTAAACTGAGGATCATCATAGACAACATGAAAAATCTTAGTAATGTGCAGAACGAAAAGATATATTATTTATAAAGTAACAATTGGAAAGCAAAATTCTCAACAGAAAAAAAAATTTGTTGATGAAAAGTATCAGCTAAATTACCATTTAAGAGCAAAGAGACTCACCTGTAATCCCAACAGTTGGAAGGCTGAGGCAGGAGGAATGCCACAAGTTCAAGGCCAGCCTGGGATATGTAGTGAATTCAAGGTCAGCCTGAACTGTATAGCAAGAAAAAAAATGAGCAGAGAAAAAATAAAACAAAGTAAGTCTGAATATATGTGTCATATGCAGTGAGTAGTATACATTTTCATATGATCTTTGAAGGAACTATTAAAAGATATACTTTACAAGAAGAAAATTAAATTGAAAAGGAAAGAGTGGGCTTTAAACCCACATGGGTCAAACAATTTGGTAAATATTTAGGCAAACACATATGGGCTGTGTGAAAAAAAACTATAAGGACTACGGATGAGAGAAATTTAAATGAAGAAAAACTAAAATACTATGCAAAATGGGGAAGGTGATTAAAGGCATTGTTCTGTGCAAAAAAAATGTAGCTATATTAACTTTTGATGTTTTAAAGTATTTTCTTAGTGCAAGTGTAACCATTACTGGAATAAAAATGTAATCTCTAATTTCAAAGAGAGAAAGATAAGGAATACTTGCATTCAATAAAACCAGCATTGACACACTTTCTTTAAAGGGTCAAATAGCAAGCATTCTAGTCTTTGTGGGCTTCATGGTCTTATTTACAGTTGTATGACTCTACCATTACAGCACAAAAGCAAATATACACAGTGCATAGTTGAATGAGTCATATTCATGTTTCAACAAAATTTTATTTATATAAAAGAGTTGGTTTTCAAAAGGAGAAAAAAAGACACAGAAAAGAAATCCCTTCAAGAAATATGATAGGATGATAAGCAATCTAAGTATATTTATATTTATATAGTTATATATAAAGTTATATTATATATAGTTATATATAGTTTTATAGATATAGTTACATTTATACAGTTATAATAAGTATAAATTCATCTAAATTGCTAATTCATAAATTGGATACAACAAACAAAATCCAAGTGTATATTGATATGAGAGACACATGGTGAATCATAATTATGGTAGAAAATGTGAAAGAAAATGCATGCATTATGTTGGACCAGGCAAATGCTAACCAAGGAAACTGAATAAACTATATTAGCAGAAGAAAGATATTAAGGCAAAATATATAATTTGAGATAAAGATATGCTAGTTTTGAAAGTACATATGCTTAACAGCATAGCCTCCAAACTATGTAGAACAAAACTGACACTTAGAAAAACAATGGTATGTCTACAATCATACATTTCTTACAGAAACTTATCAAGAAGACAAAAACCAGCCATGTGTGGCAGTGCATGCCTGTAATTCCTGCTACTTGGGGGGCTGAAGCAGGAGAATCTTAAGTTTGAAGCCAACCTGGACAACTTAGCAAAATGTGGTCTCAAAATTTAAAAACAATTTTTAAAAATGAGTTCTATATATAGCTCCTGGTTATAGCTTCTGTATGTAGCTCCTGAATATAGTTCCTGGTTTTAATCTGTCCTACCACAAAATAAAAGCTAATAACAATTAATTATAAAATAATAAATATATAAAAATAATTATAAAATTAAATAAAAATTTAAAATCTAATGGCTTGAATAAATTCACCATCAGTGATGGATCCAATTCACATAGATTAATACAAAATAATAATATGCATTTTTATATGTGCAAAAGTGTCAAAATATTCAAGAAACTAGTATACATGACTACAAAATTATGGTTTGAGGGTAGATGTACAAGAGGGTATGACTTCAACTGTAGGTGTGATTAATGTCTGCAGAGTAAAAACTTTAAAGTGGTAAAGTGGTGATATATATTAATCAATAAATATAGGTGTCTAGTTTATATTTTTGAAATATTTTATAATTAATTTTGCTTTTTAAAAAAATAATGTTTCAAGCCAGGCATGGTGGTGCATGCCTGTAATCCCAGCACTCAGGAGGCTGAGGCAGGAGGATCACTGTGAGTTCGAGACCAGCCTGGGCTGCATAGTGAGTTCCAGGTCAGTCTCAACTACATAGTGAGTCTCTGTCTCAAATAAATAAATAAATAAATAAATAGATCAATAGATAAATAAATAAATGATAAATAAATAGCCGGGCACTATGGTGCACACCTATAATCCCAGCACTCAGGAGGCTGAGGCAGGAGGATTACTGTGAGTTCGAGACCAGCCTGGGCTACATAGTGAATTCCAGGTCAGTCCCAACTACGTAGTGAGACCCTATCTCAAAAAACCAAAATAATAATAATAATAATTAATTAATTAATTAATAATGTTTCTGGTGTTTTTAATTGAAGAGTTTTTCTTACTCATATATGCTATACTGAACTTCCATCAGAAAGCAAACTAGCTAAGCTCAGTTTGTGTAGGTATGACTGAGCCTCTTGCAGAAGCCGTAGATGTTATGCTGCTGTCTGTTGCTCCAGCCATGTGCCCCTGGAAGGCATCTGAACTTTGGGCAGCTGAGTCAGACTCAACACTGTCCCTGACAATCGCAGGCTATCTCGGCAGTCAAAGTGACCTCTGTGATCTAGTTTATGATTATTATTCTGATTCTCTTGGAAAGGTGACCTTAGCAATCTTTCAAAGTCCTTCCCAAGTCTATATCAGCTTTCCTGGCCTATCTGATAATTGTCATAAAATAATATGCAGTATGCCTACATGATCACAGTCATTTTTATAGCTGCTATATAGATTCTTGATCTACTGATGTCTGGTGACTGGTATTTTTATTTGTTTTAATGTGCTATAAGAGTCCTTACATATCAGTCCAGTTCCTTCAGTTTACAGAAAGTGAGGCCCAGAGAAACAAGATTTCTTTCACTTACAATGAGTGAAAATGCTGAAAATCAGTTTCAAGTCATTATCATTCTATGAGATAATACCTGCATTCTTGAGAGGTTACAGGATGAAATATGGTATCTGTGAAGCTCACACAAGTATCAATCATTAAGACATCATGTTTTTTTCTCTCAGTGAGTTCATTGGTACATTCTAGGTATACAGTACAGTTACATTCATCATTGGGATCTTGTACCTTTACATGACAGGTCTTGGTTCTCATTTTTCCCCTTACCCCACCCTCACTTTACTCCCTCCTCCCTTCCCTATTTGCATATAATTAATTTCAATTTTTTCATTTCCTCATATTTTTTTCTTTTCCCTTATTTCCTTTCCCCTACCCTTCCCACTCCCTTTAATCACTGTGTAGTAATATAAGTTTAACATATACAGCACTAAAGGCCATGTCCCTGGCCTGTGTCCAGCCTGTGTCTGTCAAGGCAGTCATGCTGTGGAAAGACTAATCTAAGAGATACATAACTTTGTATGACCTCATGATGTGAAGAGTTTAAGGCAGACCTGTTTTGGAGACATCAGCCCTAACAGCCTTAACAGATTTAATATTACTGACATGGTTAGAAACGCCCAGTTGGAATTATCAAAATTTCCCAGGTCATCTGCTGTTGAGTGAAAGAACTATTAGGCTGCAGAGGACTTTGGGAAGACACAAACAACGTGTATATCTAGTTAATTGTTGCTCAAACTTTAAAGCATCTATGAGTCATGCAGGGATCTTGTTAAAATGCATGTTGAGATTAAGTAGGTTTGGGTGTCACCTGAAATTATTCATTTTTAACAAATGTTTAGGTAAGACCAATGCTTTTGGTCCAACTACCCTTCAAATAAAGCTTTTCCCTATTCTTAAAAATCTGCTGGATCTATGATGTTGCTAGGCTTGGATTCTGGTTGTCAGAGCAGACTGGAAACAGTGGTTTGTATGAGCATCACTCACAAATCTAGTCACTGACTGCCTTGATGTTTACTTATAGTCCAAAACAATGATTATTTGGTAGTGCCCAAGTACTCACCATGAAGTTTTCATTGGAGTTTCTATAGACCCAGAGCACTGCTAGAAACTGGGCAAATCCCCCAACTCTGTAATTTAGAAGTAATATTCCATAAGGGGTGAACCTAAAGAAGTAAAGTAAAAGGAGGAAAATGAAACTTAAAACGAGAGGGTTTAGGTCTCTCATAAAATTCCATTTCTTCCATTTGCCACTTGTGTGACCTTGGGTAAGTTGTTTAAAGCCTTTAAGGACATGTGCAAATACTGAATAGTTTGGTGTGAATAAACTATAATAGTACATAAGATCCTAATGATATAATGGACAATGTGAAATAGGAAGAAAGGGGCTAAAGGTGTAGGGAAAGTGGGAAGGGTAGGGGAAAGCTAATAAGGGAAAAGAAAAAAATATGAGAAAATGAAGAAATGGAAATGAAATGTTTGTAAAGGGGGAGGGAGGAGGGGTGAAGAGAGGGCAGGGACAAGGGGAAAAAATGAGAACCAAGACCTGTCATGTGAAGGTAGAAGATCCCAATGATGAATGTAACTGTACTGTATACCTAAAATGTACCAATAAACTCAATGAGGAAAAAAAATTTTTTTTAAATAAATAAATAAAGCAAGCCTTCGAGAGCCAGGGATTTAGCTCAGTGGTTCTGCTGCCTGCTTCATAAGTGCGAGGTCTTGAGATCAATCCAGGGTAAGTAAAAAAATAAATAAATAAATAAAGCCTTTGAGAGTCAGTTTCTACAATTCTAAAAGGAAATAATATTAAGAATAACAAGGTCAAAGATTTTACATATTAAGCAAGATAATAATTAGAAAACTGTTTCTAAACTAAGGGTTCTACCCATAATAATTTTATTTAGAAGATAGAAGTTCAAAGGAAAGTAATAGGTGGATCTTACTGATTTTGCCAATGAATTTTTAAAATTCATCAACTGTACCTTAGAAAACTGCTGACATGTAATTCTATACTCATCCCCAGTGAGTCAATATCAGAGACGGGGTAGGTAGGCAACCTTCTTAGGGCCTCACTAAGGGTTCTACCCATAATAATTTTATTTAGAAGATAGAAGTTCAAAGGAAAGTAATAGGTGGATCTTACTGATTTTGCCAATGAATTTTTAAAATTCATCAACTGTACCTTAGAAAACTGCTGACATGTAATTCTATACTCATCCCCAGTGAGTCAATATCAGAGACGGGGTAGGTAGGCAACCTTCTTAGGGCCTCATCTAAAATGGATATCTGATCTAAAATGGATCTCAGTTCAATTTCTCACAGTATTCCTGTCAGATACCTGAACTAGCACCTGGTAGACCATTCCTTGATGTTTAAGGCCAGCATAACACACAACAAAATAATAAAGGTCCCCAAAATAGTCTTTTAACTCCCCTAAATTTATCATGTGCTCTTTATCATCTTAGTCCTAACAAGAAACAAACTGGATTCACTTGCTATTGTCACACATTGAGTCACAAGTGAGATAGAGGTGCTTCTAGCAACTTGTGGTAGAGAACAAGAATGATACCAAATATTTTACTTAAAACACTCAGGACAACCAATCACAACAAAGAATTATCTGACCTTTGATATCATTATTGCTGAGGTTGAGAAACTGACTGGAGAGAAGTTAACTCCACCTTTGGCTTTGGCATTGGGACAGGTGGTTCAAGCCTCACTTAAAAATTGCTATCTCCTTACAAAAGCTATTGATGTAGGGTGAACACATGACCACTCATGACTCAAGAGCCTGAGGAAGACATTTCTCTAGAGTTTCTGGGAAAGAGAAGTCTCCTCAATCTTCTGAAAAATATTTTAGAAGCATCTCTTTGTGGTCCTGCCTCCAACTAGAATGGTTGAGCAGGGACAAGTTTTACACTTTTTGGACAAAATACAGGAAAAACTATATAAAATAATGACTTAAAGACATTAGATATCAGACTGTGGAGGTAGAACAGAAATGATAAAGGAGGAGAGCAGAGAAGAAAGATAAAAAACTATCCAAATAGCAGTGAGCTCTAGATCAAGTTCAAGCAATCCAGCTATATATGTTATTGTTTTATCTTGGGCAGGGTGGGGACAGATAAAATAACTGAAGAAATAGGAGCTGAAGATTTTCCACATTTGATAAAAAAATAGAAACAAGATCCAAGAATCTCAATAAGTCCAAGTACACGAAAAACAAAGAAAGAATATCCCTAAGGTAATTTAAATAAATGGTAGAAGTCTATAAAGGTATTTTTCCTAAGAAGGGGTCTGTAAGGCAAATGGTTTTTAAAAACCTGCTTTAGTTTCTTTTTGTCTTCTAAGTAGATTGATTTCTGTTTTAACATAACTCAAAACTAGCTTGAATTTCTAAATAGAGATCATTGTTCTGGTAATGTATTATTCAACATGGTCACATGATCAGGCAGACCAAGTTGAAAAGGCTGCCAAAAATTCTGTGCCCAATAAACTTAACTGTTTCACCTTAGCAGCAGATACTGAATTCCTTCCATGTGTGTGTTTAGGGCTTGACTCCCAACCCAGTCTACCTTTGAAGACTCAAGTACAGTATAGTCTATCTGACCTCCCACCACTATTCTATGTCAAAACATGGTGATATCTCTTTTTTTTTCCTTTTAATTTAATGTGGAGACTGAACAGGTGGCAAATGAGTTAATCTGCAGTTACAGTGCAGTAAAGTAAGCCCAGTCTCTTACCCCATCAAGCTTCTCTGAACCAGCGCTATAAGTGGGCATAACATTCTGTACAGGTTAAATTACACATAAAAGTAAATGATAAACCTGCCTTTGATGTGGACCACATGTTTCTTACCAATGGCCTGTGACCCTTTCCTTAGAGTTGATACACGTGTCCCTATTTCAAGTCTTAAGGCTTTCTGTGAGGACACAAATAGTGGACCATTGTTAATTTTGCTCCTTTGATGTGTAATTCTTGACAAAATAAAGGTGTTCCTGTGAAGAAAACAGAGTGCAAGCTGACCTAAATAAATCCTTCCTTTGACATTTGTTTTGATCGCCCCATACCTTTTTTGTGTTCTCAAACCTTTATAAAAGTCTCACCTTTCTCCTTGATGGTGCAGTCTGCCCTTGGAACTCACTCTGTGCTCTCTTGCAGTGTATCAATAAACTCTTAACTTTTCTTTATTCCAGGACTGTTGGCAAATCTTTTACCACTTTCAGTACCTTCCACATGCTCTTCCTCACACAGCGCTTAGTAGTTCCTGTCTTCATACACAATGTCCTCTTGAATAATAGTCCCCCACCTCCCCCCCCCACAAGACACATTCAATTGTCCAAGAACAAAGAGTCTTGTGAGAATCAAATGATGGAAGAGACTGAGAGAATTAGACATTTACGTCAGGTCAGTAGCACTGCTGTTCCACGTGGTTCTGTACCATCTGAT